AGCGCTGACTACAGGAAGCCCCAGGCAGAGTTGCTCTGCCCCGGGCTTCCTGGAATCAGCTGCTGATCAGTTTCAGCAGCAGCTGACTTGGGGAGCCTGGGGTTCTTACATACAGATTCAACTTAAGTCGGAACTGGTGTCCAGATTCAGCAGCTGTTGAAACTGATCAGTTTCCGACTTACATACAGATTCAACTTAAGAACAAACCTACAGTCCCTATCTTGTACGTAACCCGGGGACTGCCTGTATTTGTTAGTAACTGGTGGGTTTCACAGTGGCACACATCTGAACAAGCGCATATGATTTCAATATTGGTGCACAAGACAAAAATCACTCCGCTCATGGATGGAAAATCTTCAGAGGGAAAACTGCTCACAATGGCACTTGTCACAAATTTGCCTTTGGAATTTTTGTTTAAGGATAGTTTCAGGGAAATGGTGGTGTTTGGGTACTGCTGCCTTGTGGTGGTCGAGATGTAACATCCACTTCGTGAGACAAATTCTCAGTGTGTGGTTGGCAAAACACTTGATCCCATGGTTCGAGCTCTCCTTGTTTCCAGAATTAACCAACTGCATATAGTTTTAAATATTTGCTGTGGCTACCATCAGGGTATTGTGTAGTGCTGAGTGGGAAAGAGGGTGGATGGTTATGAATAGAAAAACACGTGGCCCACAAGACACTCTCATTCTAATCAAATGTGATGTGCAAAATAAAAACTTGAGAATCTCTGTTCCAAACTGTTTCTGGAAAGCAACCCCTAAATGTTATATCTCTAGCTGGTAAGACTGGTCTCTCAAATGTTTTTAAACCCTTTTATTTAAATTCACTCTTTAGGAGATGGGGATTCTTGTAGTATAGATATAGCTCTTGTAAATAGTAAACTTACTGGATATAACATTTCAAAAAATGATTTCCATCTAACAGCAGTGAATTTAGATACAAATGTAGTTTTCAGTATAAATCAGTGCCGTATTGCCTGCAGCTAAATATTAGCAACAGGAATCAACTTTGCTACCAACACCTCAATTACTATTACCTCTTTAGCATTGTTTATATGATACCAGAGTTGTACATAGCACTTGAAAACATGACTTGTTATGGAAGTGGATAGCAAAGGTTATATAGGTAAAACTGAGAAGTCTTATTAGATAAGGAAGCCTGTTTTATATTAAATTGAAGATTTACCCAGCATTGCTTGGGACCTTAACACAATTTTTATTTCTTGGAAAATGAAAATGTACATGCTTCATTTAAATCGTTGCCCTGGGGTGGGGGCTAGGGATGAGGTCTTCAGCATGCAGGCTACCCTGGAGAGAGAGGACTGCAACAGCTTGGGGCCAGGTGAGAAGCAACTCTCTCTAGGGCTGCTGCAGCACCAGCAGACACTACCAGAGAAGAGGGGTGCATGTTCCCTAGCTGGGGCAGGTCCAGGTTTGCCCCTTGCACTCCCCAGCCAGAGTGAAGAATGCAGCAAATTGCACTCTCCCTTGCTCTCTGAAGAAGAAAAGCCATATGAAGTTAAACTTGGGCACTTTGCAAAAAAGAATCAATATTCTTAGTAGTGGTCCATAATATTATATTGTTTGTGATTACAGTATGTAGTGTTGATCCCAGATTATTAGACAAGGTACATGAGGTAATATCTTTTATTGAGCCAACTTCTCTTCGGTAAGACAATCTTTCAAGCTTCCACAACTCTTCTTCAAGTCACCTGTGTAAGCTCAAAAGCTTGTCTATCTCACAAATAGAAATTGGTCCAAAAAAAGGTATTACCTCACCCATCTTGTCACAATTATAGTGTCAGAGGGAGGAAGAAATATGGTTATTGGTTATTTGTGACAGGTTATATTTAAGGACATAATAGAAATGGAAGCACTGAAAGTTGGCTTTGTATACAAACTCCTCCCCACACCTCCCAAATTTTGCAGTAAAAAAATCTAGACTACTTGTAGTTTATCTAAAATGAATATAAAATGCTTATTTGAACACTGTTTTCTTTGACCATTGCATGATCATAAATCAACATTGAGAGGATGCTCATAGTCCATGTAATCAGTGATGTGTTGGAAGGGAAAGTAAACCAGTTCTGCATCTCTAAAAAGATATACTAACCTTGTAGCAACTAAATTTGAATCTGACACTTTCTGAGGATATCCCAGAAGTCCTTTTGTCATAACAGCAGAAATGAAGAAACAAGTTAGACACAATTTCATTTAAAGTTTTATTTGTTAAACAGTCATTCTGTCTAGATGATTATTTAACTCATTGTACAACTATTATCAGAATATTTTCCTAACCACTATATTAAAACATGTACTTTAGTTTAGTAAATATTTCTGATTAAATTGCCAGAATTTTCTAAATGTGCATTAATCAGTTTTACCAATTCAGAAGCAATAGCATGATGGGAGTGCGCTGGAGTACAGTAGAGTTCAAAATATTATTTCAAGCTCTTTCTGCTATGACGACTACTGGAGCTGCTAGCTGCACTTGAAGGTGGTGAGCCAGCTGTTTCTGGTGAACTGAGCGATAAACTCAGATCTATAACTTTAAGTGGGGAAGCCTGGCCAGAAACAGAACCTGTGGCACTCCTGGTTGATCTAAAAGACCAAATAGTTATGGTAAAGTTAGAGTATAGATAAATCCTCTTGAGTAGTAATAAGAAAAATACAGGAGAAGTTACATAACTATCCAAGTACTCTAAGGCTAATGCACTTCATCTTACAGATTTATTAGTAGCATATGCCTTGATCTGAAGCAAGGCCTAATATTACTAGGGCTGCATGGAAGCAGCCAGGGCAAGCAAAGGCAGCAGGTCCTCACCCCCTTGCCAATTATGAATGGCCATTTCAGATTGCAGTTTGCTGCTGTGACAGGGACTAGATGAAGACTGGCTGTAGGACACTGAGGCAAGGCAGGCATTGGGGTTTTCCTGGCGTGTAGGACCCCAGAATGTGGAGGCACTGCGGTAAGGCAGTACCCAGAGGGGAGCCAGAAGAGGGTGCTGCAGGGCTAAAGATGCTAATTCCAGAGTGCTACAGGAGACTCCGTAGCAGTGAGTCTCCTGTTACACCAACCTAAACTTCCCTTACTATAATTTAAGCCATTGCTTGTTCTATCATCAGAGGTCAAACAAAACAATTTTTCCCTCTCTTCCTTGTAACACCATTTTAGGTACTTGAAAACTGCTATCATGTTCCCTCTGTCTTCTCTTTTCTAAACTAAACAAACCCAATTCTTTCAGTCTTCCCTCACAGGTCATGTCTTCAAGATTTTTAATCACTTTTGTTGCTCTTCTCTGGACCGTCTCCAACTTTAAGTACTCGAACTGAGGCCTAATTAGAGTAGAGCAAAAGAATGACTTCTCATGTCTTGCTCACAACACTCCTGTTAATGCATCCTAGAATCATGTGTTTTTTTGTTTTTTTTGTTTTTTTTTTGCAACAATGTCACACTGATTCATGTTTAATGTAGGGTCCATTGGTGCCCCTAAATCCCTTTAATCAGTACTCCTTCCTAGACAGTTGCTTCCCGTTCTGTATATGTGAAATCGTTCCTTCCTAAATGGAGTACTTTGCATTTTCCTTTATTAAACATCATCCTCTTTACCTGACTGTTTCTCCAGTTTGTCCAGATTAGTTTGACTTTTGACCCTGTACTAAGGATGTCAACATGCAGTCAACTACATGATTAACCAGTTAAACCCATAGACTAAATGTATTTCCTCCCTCCCCTTGCTTAGCAAGGGGGGGGGGGGGAGGAGGTGAGAGCTGGTGCCTGTGGGGAGCTGCCTGTTCCCCTCTCCCACCTCTGTGCTGCTGCCTCTGACAGAGGCAGCAGCGTGGAGGATGAGGGGGGCAGGTGGAAGTCAGTACGCACAGGAAGCCAGCTTTCAAGCCGACTGCCCGCATGTATCAGCTCCTGGGAAGCTGCTTAACCCTTCCCTCTGTGCTGCTGCATCTCTGAGGGGAGCAGGCAGGAGCTAATACACGTGGAGAGCCAGCTCCATGGAGCTGCCTGCCCCCTTTTACCCCACATTGTTGTAAGGAGAAAATCTGGGTCCTCAATCAGTTTGAAAATAATCTAAAAGTGAACTATATTCAGAGCCCTCCCATCCATAGGGTGGTTGGTTTGGGGTGACCCTACATTTTGGGGGGGCTCCAAGGTGACTGCCTCAATTGTCGTATGGATGAGGGGGACCTGGAGGATTACTGGGAGGCCTGGTGCAGGGCAGCAGCTGGAATTATAGCCCCTCCTGCCACTCCCAGGCAATGAGATCCGGAGTGGCCCAGCAGCCTGCTTCACTCTACCCTGCCGCCCACTCCCTCTGCTTGGTGCTTGGCTGCTCACCGGCAATGGGAAGCAGAGAGCCCTGGCCCTAGGGCCCTCCACTTTCTTCCACCATGGAGAAGGTGAGTGCAGTGGGCCTGTGTGGTGAAAGGAGGAGGAGAGTAACCCCTGTGGTGGCAAAAGGAGGAGAAGGGTAACCCCCTGCACCAGGCCCTCCAGTAACCACCTCCGGGCCACATTGCTCGGGAAAGGGAGCAGGGGAGAGAGGTTGCACCAGGTCCCATGTCCCCCTCAGGATGGCTCCAGTGAAAGAGTAATGAAGTAGAAATGGGGAGAGAGGGGAAAAAATGAATATAAGGCCTTATCTACACTTAGCGTGAGATCAGTGTTCAGGGGGTTGATCTCCCAGGGGTTGATTTAGCCACTCTAGTAACAACTTGCTAAATCATCCATCGAGTGCACTCCCATTGACTAAGTACTCCACCAAGTCGAGAAGAGTAAGGAGAGTCAATGGGAGAATTTATCTGGATGACCCTTGCCCTCCACAGTGGGGACCCAGCTGTAATTCAGATGAAGGTAAGTAGACTCCAGCTATGCTTGTTGCCTAGCTGGAGTTGTGTATCTTAATTTGACACTGCCACAGTGTAGATCTGGCCTAAGCAATTTCAGAGAAGAGCTACCAAGAAAGTCAATTTACTATGTTGTTTTGAAGTGGAACGAACTAAGCTAGACGGGCACAGGGCTTGTCCACATCTAAAGTGACATAGGTTGTGTTTGCTACAAAAGTGTAACAGGACTTGAGGAGAATCTATAATGAAGCTTTTGCTAGTCAACAGGAATGAGCAAAAAGGGACACAAGGAGAAGAAGCAATGGGCTTAAATTGCGGCAAGGAAGTTTTAGGTTACATTAGGAAAAACTTCTGAACTGTGTGAGGGTGGTTAAGCACTGGAATAAATTGTCTAGGGAGGCTGTAGAATCTCCATCACTGGAGATATTTAAGAGCAGGTTGGATACACATCTATCAGGGATTATCTAGACAGGCTTGGGTCTGCTGTGAGGGCAGGGGACCAGACTTGATGACTTCACAAGGTCCCTTCCAGTTCTAGGATTCTATGATTCTCAGGATATGGGAGTATAAGGAATAACAATGTACAGTATCTTTTTTTACTCACCTGACAGAAGCCACTGAGCTTTGTGAAGAAGATGATCTAGAACTGTAATGACTACCTATGGAAGCAGCAGTAGGAAGTTCTAAACAGGACTAGAAGAGAAAAGATTACAGATTACTCTTGGTCTTTGCAAATGGGATATATGACACATACACTACCGATTTTCTACAATACCATGTGTGATAACTGCTGCTTTCAATATATTCCCTAAGGGTATGTCTACACAGCAAAGTTATTTCAAAATAACAGCCATTATTTTGAAATAACTTTCCTAGTGTCTACACAAGCCAACTGCTATTTCAAAATTAATTCAGAATAGCGGAGGACTTATTTCAAAATTGGTAAACCTCATTCCACGAGGAATAGTGCCAATTTTAAAATTGCTATTTCAAAATAAGCACTGTGTAGACGCTTATTTCGAAATAAGGGGCCTCCAGCCCTTTCCAGAGTGCCCTGGTGGCCACCCTGGCTACCAGGTAACTTCTGACTTGATGCCCTGCTGGAACCAGCTGGCCTTAAATGTGATTCAGCGTCCAATCAGTGTGGATGCGCTATTTCAAAATAACGATTTCAAAATTAGATATTTCAAAATAACACTGTAGTATAGACATACTCTTATTTTCAATGCTAACAGCATGACCCGTTTTACAGTAGCCATATTGTATTTTTTGAAATTGAGGCACAATGCCTTTGAATCACTGCAGTGATTCTGTAACACTATCAACGTTTTCATGAACAGTCAACTAGAGATAATACCTGTTGAAAGTATGTTTGGAAGGGTATAGTTAAGTCAGGGTTTGCTTCTAAAATTTCAACCAACAATTTGTCAATGGTTCTGCTGTAGTCTTTCAGCTCACGGAGGTCAATGTCGTCTTCTTCTTGGGTTTTCATTTTACTTTTCTTTAAAGATCGAACTTCTCTGGACAGCCTGGAACACTTTCGGTGTACAGAAACAGGCAAATGGAATTTAGCAACGTTTAGTAATTATGAAAACAATTTAAAATTCCTTTCATGAAATGCCAAACACTGTTAGTAATGGAGATAAAAGTTTATGCTGCATTTTTACTATACTCCAACTTTAACTCAAACAAATAAAATAAGAATTGTCATTTATTAAACCAACCTGTGTTATAACTCTTTCTAGCTTTGGCTTCTGTTGATCTATTTCTTTATTCAGCTGCAAAATACGAGCTTGCTTCTCATTTGTTCTTTTTTGATAGACTGCCTCCTCCCTTATCATGATGTCTAAAGTGTTTTCCATACTCTAAAATAATAAGCACAGATCAAACTTGAATATAAGATTTTGTTTTAGTTTAAAATCTATGTGAATATTAAATAGTAAATACAGTGATTCTAATATCCTTTTAGTACTTTACTGCACTTAACATTTTGTGTTAGGCTTTCTCTCACAACTCAACAGACCTTTTTACTCTTGTTGCTTTTAAGATTTTTAAGGGTGTTAAAGGGTTTCACCACTCAGTGTGTGATACCTGATTTAGGAGCCAAAATCATACTGATTTTTATCAATTTATAAAATCTGGATCTTTAATTAGAACCTCCACCCTTAAAATGTGTTAGAACTATGATCTGACAACCCGATACCATCATTTGTCTTGCTTGTTATAATTGGTTAAGCCACTGTACGTAACATGCTTATTGTAAGCTTGCAGAGGGCAGTCCTTGTCTTGTTGGCTGAAACTAAGGTTATTGCCCTTCTTTAAAGGCTCCCCTATAACTGGGTCAGATGAGTAAGTGGGGGGAAAAGTTTACAAGGAAGAACAGGAAGCATTGGGTGTAGGAGGCACTGCCCTTTCTGGTGACTGGAAGAGTGGATGTGGAGTACAGGCAGTCCCCGACTTACGCTGATCCGACTTATGTCGGATCCGCACTTACGAACGGGCTTTCTCGCCCCAGAGCTCGCAGGCAGCGGTCCCGCCACCTCGACCTCCGGGGCGAGAAAAGCTGCTCCCGGTGCCCCTGGTCTGCTGGGGACCGTCTCCAGCAGACCAGGGGCACCGGGAGCAGCTTTTCTCGCCCCGGAGGTCGAGGTGGCGGGACCGCTGCCTGCGAGCTCTGGGGCGAGAAAGCCCGTTCGTAAGTGCGGATCCGACATAAGTCGGATCAGCGTAAGTCGGGGACTGCCTGTACTCCACATCCACTCTTCCAGTCACCAGAAAGGGCAGTGCCTCCTACACCCAATGCTTCCTGTTCTTCCTTGTAAACTTTTCCCCCCACTTACTCATCTGACCCAGTTATAGGGGAGCCTTTAAAGAAGGGCAATAACCTTAGTTTCAGCCAACAAGACAAGGACTGCCCTCTGCAAGCTTACAATAAGCATGTTACGTACAGTGGCTTAACCAATTATAACAAGCAAGACAAATGATGGTATCGGGTTGTCAGATCATAGTTCTAACACATTTTAAGGGTGGAGGTTCTAATTAAAGATCCAGATTTTATAAATTGATAAAAATCAGTATGATTTTGGCTCCTAAATCAGGTATCACACACTGAGTGGTGAAACCCTTTAACACCCTTAAAAATCTTAAAAGCAACAAGAGTAAAAAGGTCTGTTGAGTTGTGAGAGAAAGCCTAACACAAAATGTTAAGTGCAGTAAAGTACTAAAAGGATATTAGAATCACTGTATTTACTATTTAATATTCACATAGATTTTAAACTAAAACAAAATCTTATATTCAAGTTTGATCTGTGCTTATTATTTTATAACCCGGGGACTGCCTGTATTTATAGCCCAGGTAGCCTGAGAAATACCCTTTTTTACATGCAAAAGGAAGCAGGCTGTAGCATCAGTTGCAGCTGGAGAGTCTGACTTACCTGGAGAGTGAGGAAAGGGTTAAGTAACTCTGGAGATGCACATGAGGGAGGAGGCTTTGGGCATTCAGCCAATGAAATGCAGATAAGGAATTTCAAACCAAGAGAGTTGGTTTTTTTTTTTTTTTCCCTTTCTTTTTGGGTCAGAGCAGTTTTTCCCCAGGTAGCAGAAGAGACTAGCTCTCCCAGGAACACACTCCTTGACTCCTGTTACCCTAGAGGAGCTCAGGTAAGTGTGGATTTTGGGGGGCTATGTTGTGAGCTGTGGGGTGATTATCAAAGTGTTTGTCTGTGAGTATTTGTTTGACTGTATGTTTGATGAATTTAAAAAAGCAGCAGTTTGAAAAGAGTGGCAGTTGGAAAGTTTGAAAAGTGTGAATCGGGAGTGCTTTGTTCCAGGTGGGCCATCAGGAGCTGACAAGATTAAAGACAACGCTTTGAGCCGGGCCTAGCCTCAGCCTTATAAAAAGGCAGCCAGAGCAAACAGGCAGCAGCCAACAGGGGAGTATGCCTGGGGGTTTGCCCTGGGGGGAGCCCCATAATGTTTGGTAGTCTTTTCCTTGAATTTTTTTTCTCTTCCGCCCTTCAAGGGGGGCATTTAAAAACATCTGAGGAATCTCTCTGAAGGGAGGCAGGTATGGATAGTGATAGGTCTGCTGTTGTTACCTGCACAGCATGCAGGGGCGGCCCAACTAGCTGCCAGCAACTGGTGCCCTAGGCGAACCATGCAATCAGCACTCCCACCTCCAAACCCCTCAATGATATTGTGCCACCATTTGGCGCCCCATTTAACTTGGCGCCCTAGGTGACCGCCTAGTTTGCTTATATGGACGGGCTGCCCGACAGCATGTGCCATATTTGTCTTCCTCCCGGAAGATAGAAGGGATTTCATCTGCACTAAGTGCAAGCTGGTCACCATTTTGGAAGAAAAAATTAGAGGACTTGAGGCCCAAGTATCAACCTTGCGTTCCATCAGAGAAGATGAAGACTTCCTCGATAGAAGGCAGCATTTAATCCTGCAGGAACTATAGGCCAGTGAGGGCAGTACAGGACAAGGAAGAAAACTGGCTGCATGTAACCTCTAGGGCTATGTCTAGACTGCAAGCCTCTCTCGAAAGAGAGCGTCTAGACTGCACGCGGAACTTTTGAAAGAGCAAGCCGCTTTTTCGAAAGAAAGCACCCAGTGAGTCTGGATGCTCTCTTTCGAAGAAACCCTATTTACATTCAAGAACGCCTTCTTTCGAAAGAAGCACTTTCGAAAGAAGGCGTTCTTCCTCATGAAATGAGGTTTACCGCTGTCGAAAGAAAAGCCGCGTTCTTTCGATTTAATTTCGAAAGAACGCAGCTGCAGTCTAGACGCAGGTGAAGTTTTTTCGGAAAAAGGCTACTTTTCCCGAAAAAACCCCTGAGTCTGGACACAGCCTAGGAGAAGACCAACTCTGGTATTCCCCTATTACTAGAGAGGTAAGTAAACTGTTTTCAGGCTCTCTGAACAGGCACTACAGTGGAGAATGCTTTGGCAGAGACCTCAGGGAAGGAGACACCATCTACCGGAAGGCACAGGATGTGTAGTCCTAGGGATGGGGATTCCATGACCACCACCCCCAAAAGGACAGGTGGTCGTGGTCGGGGACTCCCTCCTAAAAGGGACGGAGTCATCCATGTGCTAGCCAGCCCCCATATCTACACTTGAAGTGCCAGGTTGGAGAATTGAGATGTGACATGGCATGAGGCTCACAGCAGCAAAAGTAAGCAGGGGCCCTTAATCAACAGGCGATGCAAAGAATCCCCAAACCACATGGGAAAGGTTGCAGAACTTGCATATTCCCAGACAGTGTGGGGAAGGATCTGCAAAGCCAGGGCCCTAAAAGCAGGGGGGAAACTGGGAGAGGGGAACCTTAGGTAATATGGAGGAGGCACTAGGTTCTCATCACTCACCCATCAGCAACAGATGCTGTAACTGCAGCAGGCTGCTCTGCCTCCTATATACATGGGACAGCAGGAAGGCCTCACCATATTCTCCAAGAAGCCTTAGTGATCAATGGGTCCCTGTGAGAACCAGTGTCAGAAAGGGCAGCTGCAGCAACCCAAAGTTGTTGTTGTTTTCCCCTTGTTGGGGAAGTTGGTTAGTGACTTTAGGGGAGTGGAGGTGAAGGCCTACCTGAAATCCCCCTTCCACTGATACATATATGGGAATGTGTGGGAGAAGGAGGAGGGGTAACCGATCCCCACCACCCAAGCAGCAACAGCCTGAGCCAGAAGAGGAAAAAGTAGTGGCTCCTTGTAGGGGCAGGGCAGATTTGATTGGTCTTCCTATACCATGTCAGGTCCCTTGCAGGAATGAGGAGGATATCTGGGCTTCTCCATAATGCATAGTAGTTAGTGGATGTTGGTTGTGTTCTCATGCCCCAGTTATTATAGATGATGGACAATAGAGCTTTGGCATATGAGAGGTCTCAAGGTGGTACAAATATAGGTTGTGCTGCAAACATTTAGGATTTACGAGCACAGGTTTAACAATTTTGAGCAATCTCATAGAATTCTGGCCTTGGCTATGATATGGTCAATTCTAGAGGCCCAAATAGTTCAGTACATGGTGTTGGTGGTAACACATGGACCAGCATCATATATATCTGCTAGTTGCCTATTTTGTCTTATGTATGCCAGTAGACTAAAGTTACATGGATCCTTATAGCAGATCTTAGTCCAGAAGTTTTTAGTTGGCTGGGCTAAAGACACATGGTCTTTTAGTGATTCCCATCATTCTTCAGACACTCAGGGATTTGTGGCATGTTCTCAACCAAATATGAAGAAACAAACAGAAGGCAGCCTTGTTCAAGACAGCATTTGGGAGGGGGGGGGGTTGAGTTTTAGGGTCAGTGAACTAATATCTGGGTCAGCAAGGGATACATTGGGAAGAGCTTTGGCGTAGAGGAGTGATCTGGCCACTTGACCCTGATGCTCTCAAATATAGATTGAGGGAAAGGGAGTCCATAGTGCTATAGGAGGGAGGTAAAATTAGCATTTGACCAGCAGGGACATTAAGGACTTATTCATGACCCTCACAACATAAAATTTGTTAGTTTTCAGAAAGAGGCTAACAAAGGGGGAGCTTCTGGAATTGGAATTGCAACAGCTGCTGCCTAACTAGGACTGGGAGGCTAGACAACAGATGAATAGTTTATGTATGTGCAGTCTTCATATGAAGTAAAAGAATGAAAAATTCTGGGTAAAATTTTCAGAGATGCTTAATAGGGATATGAAAATGTAACCATATACACGGTTACACACAGGCTCTAGGTACAGCTGGGGAGCTGCCTGCCCCGCACTACCATGCAGCGGTTACGTGATTACTTAAACACATTTATCAACCCTAATTCATAAGCGATTTAGAGTTTAAAATGTGTTGAAAATCAATGATAAATGTATATGTCTATTTAATTTTGAAAATGGGACTTAGTCTCCTCTACGAGTTTGACACTTTTGAAAGTTTTACCTATTGTCCATGAGCAGTAGAGAATTTACAAAGGTCAGTGAGGAACAATATTCCCAGAATGTTTCTCAATCCATGAAGAGAAAAAATTGCCTACACTATGAAAATCCATGGCTTTGTCTATACTAATGGAAATCTCATAAACCCCATTACCTGAACATCGTCTTGAAGCTCCTTGATCTGTCTTCGCTTGTATCTGTATTTTTCATCAGCAGCTCTTTTCTCTTCTTCTAACTGCAGCTTTTCTTTGTACTCCTCACCTACAATACCAAACACTCTGGCTACGTCTACACTGCAGGATTTTTGCACAAGATCAGCTGTTCTTGCACAAAAACTTGCAGAGCGTCTACACTGTACGCACGTTCTTGCACAAGTAAATTTACAGTACAGCATTGGAAAGCAGGGCTTCTTCTGGAAGAGTTATTCCTCTCCCCGTGAGGAATAAGCCCTCTTGCGCAAGAGCTCTTCCACAAGAAGGCAGTGTAGACAGGCAACATGAATTTCTTGCGCAAGAAAGTCCTATGGCTAAAATGGCCATCAGGTTTTTTGCGCAAGAGAGCGTCCACATTACCATGGACGCTCTTGGACAAAAGCACATATGTTGCACAAAAGCACATGGGAGTGTGGATGTGCTCTTGTGGAAGACCTTTTGCACAAGAACTCTTGCGCAAGAAACCTGCAGTATAGACGTAGCCTCTGAGTTAGAGTTTAAACATTGTACAAAGTGTACATGCTAAGGTATTTTAGTCTTTAGATTTTCATCCAAAGGGTTTGGCTACAGTACTGGATAAGGTCAAATTAAGATATGCAACTTCGGCTACGTTATTATGCAGCTGAAGTCAAAATGCCTTAACTCGACTTTTGGCACTGTCCATACTGAAGGAAGTCAAAGGGAGAACATTCTCCCTTTGACTTCCCTTACTCCTTGTGGAAACAGGACTACCGGCATCAACTGAAGTGCCCCTCTCAGTTCGAATTAGCGTGTCTTCACTAGACTTGCTAATTTGAACCCTGGAAGATCAGCAATGGCAGCTTCAGTCTTCTCTATAGTGTAGACATATCAAAAGATAAGACTATGGCTGCATTTTAAAGTAATTGCACCAAAGTACAATACACTAAGACTCATTTATGGCTGACAAAAGTCTTCTGCCAGGCTGCCTTGAGGAGCTGCAACTGTGCAATGTACTAAATTGGGCAGTATATTCAGCATCTCAAAAGCCTTGATCTTTGAATAATCAACTGCTGAATAGATGAATTTGTAAATCAAAAAAGGAAGTACAGTTGGTGATATAAGACTGAATCATGTTATGCAACCCACATACTTGAATATCTTTTTGACTATTTAGGTCCTTGATTAAAGCATGCTTCTACCAGGGTGAGGGGGACCCTTGAACATCCTAATGTTGTCTACAGTGCTTCTGAGAAATCTATAGGACATTCCTGTACAATTATACTTATAGGATACTTACAATTTTGTTATTCAGATATAACTAAAAAATATATACTGCTATTGTACTCCAAGATGTATACATGAAATATTAAAAGAACCACCAATAATGAAGGCTTTAATGGAAGTTTGCATCCTAAAGTGCCCAGGGTACCTGCTTTAATTGATTTAAAACTTACAGGGAACATTATAAAAATTCTATTTTTTTAAATGCTTCACAAACTACTAGTCATGTAAAACAAAAGGGAAAAAAAGAGGAAAAAATTATGTAGCACTTTAAAGACTAAAGAGATGTTTATTAGGTGATGAGCTCATCACCTAATAAACATCTCTTTAGTCTTTAAAGTGCTACATAATTTTTTCCTTGTTTTACCAAGATCTGACTAACACAGCTACCTCTCTCTCACTTTTAGTCATGTAAAAGCCAGGGGGAAAGTGACTGGTTTATCAACGATAAAGATTTAAAATCCATTGCTGTATAGCCAGCAGAGGGCGCAAAAGTTAAACAAGCCATGTCTTCACAGTTCTTGATATCACTGATCACACTACTGCATGAATAAGACAAAACAAAGAAGTCTGATTGAGAAAGCAGCTTGTGAAAACTGTAAATTTTCAATGAGCTCTCAACAGGTAAATGATATAAAATCCCACAGGATTCCACAAACTACTGTGGAGATTCAACATGTCTGACGTTGTCTAAGCAGAACACACACAATGGCACAGTCCTCAGTTCACCTTTTTATTGGATGACAGCAGTGCCCTATAATGAAAACAACAAACAATACTGTTGATAAGGGATCTGCTTTCATCAGTGTCTCACAACCACTGTCTTGCTGTACTGCCACAGAATTCGGGTACTTAAAGACCTATCCACCATTCTTCCTACTACTGATTAATGAGCTTTCTGTAGAGACATTTTGTGCAGTCCCTCACAACACTTTATGCGCCTCAGTTGTGATTCTGCAGTACTCCCAAGAGTTTTCACATCCTTACTTGTGCTTAAGAATTTGCATTAAAATAAGACAGCACTTGAACCTTAATAGCGTTTCTCCCCCTGTATCTAGTCTTTCTACTCTGCTTTGGTTTTGAATTCTGCTTTCTTCTGCTACTATCAATGTGTTCTATAGCTGATTTATTCAGTAAGAACAGCCTTTCAGTATCATTGCTTTACTTCAGTGTCCCTGGTTTATGCTTTCAGCTCCAACTCGCAAGTAATAACAATGTTCATTTTACATACTTGTTTCTGTCACTGTTTTAAAAGAGTTCCGGTAATTGCTGTTGCAATTATTGATCACGTGCATGGTATTTTGCAGGGCTATGATTTCTTTTTCAGCCTTGCGGATCTTTGCATCCAACTCATCACCTTCACGTTGAAGGTCCTCCTTTTCCTGGGCAGCCTAAAAATAAAACGAAGATCTAAGACAGATCAAACAGTTATATTGTGCTGGCTACCTCTGGACTGCATGGATCTTACTGAAAAATGTTAATATCATGACAATAAGAGAAGAGTACTTGGTAAGTAGTTAAGAACAAAATCTTTTTCTATAGTCTAACAAGAATTCAGTCTTAAAACCTGATTTTGTCACAAACACCTTACGTAGAGCTGATTTTGTTGGAATCCTATGTGGGCATAGGGGTTCGTGTATGTGCTCAAAATAGAAGCCTTAGCTATTAAATAGCCAGAAAGTTCTGCTGCTTCTAGGTTTGAAAACCATTTGGTGAGAGTTGTTCAAAGCAATCTAACTAAGTATGTTCTTGGATTATACAAATTTAAGAGTAAAAAAGAGCACTATGATTACACCTTTCTTTTTGTACATGGATTTCAATAGCGTGATTAAATCTCCTGTGCCCTGTAAAAGATTGACTAGACAAGTTAGTTCATTTCAAATTTTTGAAAAAAAAAAAGTCAGTAGGGTTTTGCATGAGTACTTGGTTGCATCCACATAGAACAGCTTGCAGGACTTGAGCATAAAGTACACTTCTAAAATAGTATTCAGGTGAAATCTATACCACAATTATTTTTAAAAAACCCTATTACAAATTGTGGATAGCTGAAGGAGCAGGACAATAAACTGCAGGATGACCTGCAAGGCACTGATATTCCGCAAGCCATTCAGAAGAGCAGACTGGTTAGAAGATCCTGCACTCTGGGAATAGGGGTAAAGAGCAAACAACCATCTCCCAAAGACAGCAGGAAAGAACGCATTAAGGATCTTTGTCCAAGAGAGGCAACAGGTACAGGTCAAGATTTTTGTCTTTGAGATGAATGAATGGTTACAAATAGAAGTGGGAAAGCTATAGTTTAAACAAAGACTGATAATGCTATATGAGTTGATCAAAAGCATTCCAGCAGTAAAGTAACTCAGCTAGCTACCTTAATGACATAGTATGTCTGAGTTTTCTCCTCTTCTCCTTCAGGAGGCATCATGACTATGGTAAGAATTTCATATCTGCATCTTAGTTTTTCAATTTTACTTAAACGGTCTTGAAATTCAGCACTGATTGATGGAAGAAAGTGAAAACACACACTGACGTAAATGGTTAAGGAAATATGTTTCCGTCTTTGTACCATTTTATAGACTATTTCTTTTATTAAAGCTGCACTACTTGTTGCTACTGCAGTAGTCTGAGCATGCCCAGGGAGCCAGCCATAAAAGGCTGTTCCCAGGCTTATTTGTTCCCAATTCTTCACAACTCCAGACATCTGGTTCTCTTCCCACCCCCACAGTTTCTCTCATCCTACTGCATAGAGTGGACAAATTTCAGATCCCTCACATCACAGGGAGCTCTGCCAGACACCTCCCCCAAATCTTTAAAGCATTGGCATTTAAGTCCTACAGCTGCACAAGATGCCCCCTGCTGATCATTTCTTAATATTGCTACTGCTAAATGAGAATAAGCAACAGCAGGCAACAACCTCAAATCAAATTACATGCAAGTACTAATTAGCTGTGTAATTGTCAAAGGAAAAACATACAGTCTGCACTCTGGGTGAGGAGTTAAGCTTTAGTCACACTAAATCACTCTAATTTCCTATTGCTTGGGGTATGGTTAGCAGAGAGGTGAATAAAAGCCTGCCAACTCAGCTGCTGAGTGTTTGCTTCCTAGTTGGATTTAGCCACTCACTCCAAGACCGATATTAGGAGGTCAGAACTAGAATATAGCAAATATTTTGAATTAATTCTCTTATTATGAAGGCAACAAAGAAGTCTGCACTTTAATGTAACTTTCTAGTATCTGTTTACCACAGTGTAAACAAGTAACTGGTAATGGCGTGTACCATTTCTGGTTTACAGGAGATTTAAAAAATTCTACTTCATGGAATTAATAGATATTCTCAGAATGCTTCTAAGAATTATTCACTTACTGGGTCACCAATGGAGACCAGAGTTTTCTCAAGTACTAACTCCTGATGAGTAGGTCCTCTTATAAAAAATGACTTGGCTGTTACTTCAAATATACACAGTGTAGTTACTAGATATCTTGAACAAACACAGCAATAGAGGGTCAGGCATAGAATCTTTGTCTTCCAAAAACCCAGACCTCTATCTACCATTTAAGCTTAAAGAGATTCTGTCTGAAGATATGCAGTTTGGATTCTTTACAATACCAGATGGCATATTACCATATTGGATAAATGATGATTTTTTTCTTCAGGATAGGATGTGGGATAGCAGAGAATAAAGAGAATTTTGGTTAATTATTAAAATAGGAGAATGACAGCAAGAGACTTAGGCTCCATTCCCAACCCTTCTAGTCACTAGCAGTATGACTTTGGGCAAGTCACTTAACCCTCACACTTTCTGGTGGGTAAATAAGAATAATGTTTACTTTACTTTGTAAATATTTTTAGATCCCACATGTAAAACACTGTATAAAAGCAATTTTTAAAATGGTGTGAGAAATTAATTTATTAATGCTGTATTTAAAGACAGTGAATCTACTAGCTGATTTTTTAAAAATGTTTGAGAGAAAAATAGTAAACTGACCACAGTACACCTTTTTGTAGAACATATTAATTTATTTTAAATGGTGTTTCTATTTTCCATTTACTGTTAAGAACATTGAAGGTAATGTTTTGAAAATACATAGTTAACTACCTTATGCTTTGCCGTTCCTGCTCCACAAATCTTATCTGTGATTCAATCATTGCCTTATGAACCTTAATTTCTTCAGTTCTTTCTTCCATAGCTGTATTTAATTGTAGCTTTCGTTTTTCCAGTGAGAGAACTTGTTCCGCCTTATTGTACAGTGTGTCTCGAAGACGTTTCAATTCCAGTTTTAAGAGATTATCTTCAATCATCAAATCCTATCAAATGCCAAAAAAGAGAAACACAGAAATAAAAGTGAATAAAAATACATTAAGGCTTTGTCTACACTACGCGTTTTTGTGGCAGAAAATATGCTAATGAGGGACTCATGAGCATAAATCACAACCTCATTAGCATATTTCCTGCCATTTCTTTTTGCACAAGGGATTTTTGTACAAAAAGAAGCAGGGTAGCCACTTCCAATTTGCGCAATACCCCGTTTTGCGCAAGATCCTTATACCCAGAGAGGAAAAAACCCCTTGCGCACAAAGAAACAGCAGAAAATGCTAATGAGATTGCAACTTATGCTAATTAGTCCATCATTAGCATATTTTCTGCTGCAAATACGAGAAGTGTAGACGTAGCCTAAATGGAAAAATACAAATAAAATGTCAACTTTTTAAACTGATGCATTTTTAGAAATTCTAGCTTCCTGTAAAACAATCTTTAAACAGTACTTGTATATTACAATAACTAGAACTGAGCCTTAGGTTATTGTCTTAGGCTTTGTCTACACTGTAGGGTTTTTGCACAAGAAGCTTTTTGTGGAAGAGATCTTCCGCAAAAACTCTTGTGCAAAAGTATGTCCACACCTCAAAAGCGCATCGCATGTGCAAGTAAGTTCTGATTGCCATTTACAGAATGGCCATCAGAGCACCTATGTGCAAGAAACCCCTGTTGAGCGACTGTAGCCAGACACAAACCCCATCTTGTTTTTCCACAAACCCCATCTTGTCCCCCCCCCTCTTCCCCAGAGAGCAAGAGAAAGGCAGTCAGCCTTTGATGCCCTGGGAACGCATTTCCCCCCCCCAGAGAGCAAGAGAAAGGCAGTCAGCCTTTGATGCCCTGGGAACGCAGGTGTGGTGCCTGTCCCTGACTCTACCATAAACAGAAACCAGACAGTAAATGGGCTAGCTGACGACCCGGGGCCTCCCGTCGCCCTGATGGCTAGTACCAGTAATTGACACGCCTGCACTGTCCCAGAGAGGAATCTTCGCCCATCACATACCAGAGGTGCCCATTGTCTGCATTTTCCCAGGTGTAAATTATGCTTTGCACCCTTCGTGGGAAACTTGGTGTTCAAAGCCATTTTTCCTAATTGGCCACTTGAGCCCAGGAAGAAGCCTACATGACCCAAGGGGTATAAAAAGAGGTTCAGCCGCCCACCCCATTTGAGCTCCAATCATCTATACCTGCTGGCAGGTATTGATTGTCTCCCGAGGTCTGTGGGACGCCCAACCTCGCCCTACTTCTTCCCGAGGGATTGAGAGAAAGACGCTGGCCACGCCAAGTCTGGAACGCAGGGGTGAGAATATCTACCTGCTAGGTGTCTATTTTGCATGCATTTAATAAGAGCTCAGAGAACCAAAGGGTTTCATGGTACCTGTAAGTGACTTATTAGTGTAATTTCTGTCCTGTCCTTTGTAGTGTCTGTGTTATCTGTAACACAGTAGTAGCATTTAACAACTAAGTTTACCCTGTAACAATAAAATAGTAACTGTTTAAGCTTTAACCTGACTCCTTCAGTTGCTGTAACAGAACCAAGCACAATTTAAAAGAACTTCAGCCGGTCATAAGGGACTCACTGCCCTGACCGTCGGCTGACAGCGACCACACACCTTTTTGCGCGAGACCTTTTGCGCAAAAAGGAGTTATTCCTTGTAGAAACAGGTATACCTACACCGCAAAAAGCTCTCTGTTCTGCTGTTTACTGTAAATTTTCTTGTGTAAAATCCCTGTAGTGTAGACCTAGTCTTACAGTATACAGTCTCAGCAGTTCCTTGACCACCCAGAGGTCTCGGGGACAAGGAAAAGAATTGGGAATGCTTGTTGCAGACCTCTGATGCACCTTTACAAGAGCTGCAGGGGAGTTTTGCAACTCTCCCTTGTGTCTCACAGCAAAAGGAAGAATAGGACTTTTTTAAAAAATCTGTTCTAATTAAGAAATCAAAATAAAACAAAAGCATAGCTGTGATTTATACAGAGTATACATTACAAAACTCATACTCCCAAGGATGTGGTAGTTAGCTTTGCTGGGAGGAACATGACGCAAACACAAAAAAAGTTTTGGTTTCAGAGTTCAGAATATACGAAAGAAAATATTTTTGCAAAAAGTATGAAAAGTGAAAGGGAAACCAGTTGTCAGTAGTCAGTGCACTGTATTTGTTACATGTTATTAAAATTAAAATCCCATCAGTCTCAAAGTTGGAGGGTGAAAAGTGGTATGGGACATGTAAGCTCCACCTTTCCCCTCTCCATGTAAGCCTCCCTGTAGAGTAACCTTGGAGCTATGGCTCCACAAGGAGTTGGAGACTGGGTAGAAGGAGGAATTGGGCTTCGTATACTCTCCACAACACTGTCTTTTGCCAAATCCATGAATATTCTATCCAAAACTAATGCTGCTTTTGGATTAATGAGTTCTCATATAAACATCAGTAATATACCCCTGGCAGCAAAACTCTCCGAAATAGATATTGCTTCATAAATGCAAGGGTTATAGTCAATGGTAATTGATCTCCCAAGGGGCCCTATGACTTGAGATAAGAGGCCGCAGTTTCTCTAGTCTACACCTTCCTCAGACAATACCAGCTAATGGGACAACAGCCATGTAATTGTCTTCCATTTGAAGATCTAGATCTTGGAGGCTGTACGGGGGGGGGGGGTGGGTGGGGAGATGACACAGCACAAAATAAAGTAGAAAATAATACCAAAACTGTTAACTAAGGGACAAAAGGGAGAAGGTGTTGCCTTATATATTAACAATGTATACACTTGGACTAAAGTGGAGATAGACATAGGAGACAGACTTGTTGAGAGTCTCTCGGTTAAGTTAAGTTAAGGGGTAAAAAGCAAGGGTGATGTCATGCTAGGGTCTACTACAGACCACCAACCCAGACAGAAGAGGTGGATGAGGCTTTTTTTTAAAACAACAAAATCATCCAAAGCACAGGATTTGGTGGTTAGTGGGGAACTTCAACTATCCAGACATATGTTGGGAAACTAACACAGCAGGGCATAGATTATCCAATAAGTTACTGGACAGCATTGGAGATTTTTTTTTTTTTTTTTTAGTAGGTTGAGAGAGCTACTGGGGGGAAGCTGTTGTAGATTTAATTTTAACAAATAGGCAGGAATTGATGGAAAATTTGAAAGTGGAAGGCAGCTTGGGTGAAAGTAATCATGAAATCATAGAGCTCATGATTCTAAGGAATGGTAGAGAGAAGAACAGAGACAATGGATTTCAGGAAGGCAGATTCTAGTAAACCCAGAGAGCTGATAGGTAAGATCCCAGGGGAAGCAAGACCAAGAGGAAAAACAACTAAAACCAGTTGGCCGTTTTTTAAAGGGACATTATTAAGGCCCCAAATGAAAACTATTCCACTGCATGGGAAAGATAGAAAGTATGGCAAGAGACCACCTTGGCTTAATCATAGAATCATAGAGCTGGAAGAGATCTCAGAAGGTCATCAAGTCCAGCCCTCTGCCCAAAGCAGGATCAATCCCAACTAAATCAACCCAGCCAGGGCTTTATCAAGCCGAGACTTAAAAACCTCTAGGAATAGAGATTCCACCACCTCCCTAGGGAACCCATTCCATTGCTTCACCAACCTCCTAGTGAAATAGTTTTTCCTAATATCCAACCTAGATCTCTCCCACTGTAACTTGAGACCATTGCTCCTTGTTCTGTCATCCGTCATTACTGTGAACAGCCTTTCTCCGTCCCCTTTGGAACCGCCCTTCAGGAAGTCGAAGGCTGTTATCAAATCCCCTCTCACTCTTCTCTTCTGTAGACTAAACAAACCCAAATCCCTCAGTCTCTCCTCATAGGTCATGCGCAGGGGTGGCCCGTGATATAGGCGGACCAAGCTGTCGCCTAGGGCGCCGCCTTCCATGGGACGATGATGATGTCACGGGGCGCCAGGGGCACCTGATGATGTCACTCCATTGATGGCCATGCAGGCGGGGGCGCTGATCGCGCGTTCCGCCTGGGGGGCCAGCTGCTGCAGCCCACCTCGGGCCGCTCCAGGTCATGTGCTCCAGCCCCTGAATCATTTTGGTTGCCCCCTGCTGGACTCTCTCCAATGTGTCCACATCCTTTCTATAGTGGGGGGCCCAGAACTGGACACAGTACTCCAGATGTGGCCTCGCCAAAGCTGAATAAAGGGGGGAATAATCACTTTTCTGGATCTGTTGGCAATGCTCCTTGTAATGCACCCTAATGTGCCATTAGACAAGGGCACATTGTTGACTCATATTCAGCTTCTCATCCACTGTAATCCCCAGGTCCTTTTCTGCAGAACTGCTACTTAGCCATTCAGTCCCCAGCCTGTAACAATGCTTGGGATTCTTCCATCCCAAGTGTAGGACTCTACACTTGTCCTTGTTGAACCTCATCAGATTTCTTCTGGCCCAATCCTCTAATCTGCCAAGGTCAGTTTGGACCTATCCTTGTCCTCCAGCATATCTACCTCTCCCCCCAGCTTAGTGTCATCTGTGAATTTGCTGAAGGTGCAATCCATCCCCTCATCCAGGTCATTAATAAAGATGTTGAACAAAACCGGTCCAAGAACACTAGCGGTCCAAGAACACGGCACTCCGCTAGAAACCGACCGCCAACCTGATATCGAGCCATTGATCACTACCCCGTTGAGCCCGACAGTCTAGCCAGCTTTCTAGTCATCTTGCAGTCCATGTATCCAATCCATATTCCCTTAACTTGCTAGCAAGAATATTGTGGGAGACCGTATCAAAAGCTTTGCTAAAGTCAAGGTATATCACATCCACTGACTTTCCCATATCCATAGAGCCAGTTACCTCATCATAGAAGCTAATCAGATTGGTCAGGCACAACTAGCCCTTGGTGAATCCATGTTGACTATTCCTAATCACTTTCCCCTCTTCCAACTGCTTCAAAATGGATTCCTTGAGGATCCCCTCCATGATTTTTCTGGGGTGTGAGGTAAGGCTGACTGGCCTGTAGCTCCTGGATTGTCCTTCTTCCCTTTTTTAAAGTTGGGCACTACATTTGACTTTTTCCAGTCATCCGGGATCTCTCCCAATCGCCATGAGTTTTCAAAGATAATGGCCAAAGGCTCTGCAACAAGATTTGCCAGCTCCCTCAGTACCTTTAGAGGCATTAAATCCGGGCCCATGGATTTGTATATGTTTAGCTTTTCTAAATAGTTCCTAACTTGTTCTTTCCCCACCAAGGGCTGTCCATCTCCTTCCCATACTGCGTTGCCTATGTGATCTTACAATCAAAAGGAGTCATATAAAAGGCGGAAACTAGGTCAAATGACAAAGCATGAATATAAGCAAATAACACAAGTATGCAGGGGCAAGATTAGAAAGGCAATGGCATAAAACGAGCTAAATATTGCTAGAGACATAAAGGGTAACAAGAAGACATTCTACAAGTATATTAGGAGCAAGAGGAAGGCCAAGACAAGATAGGCTCATTTCACAGTAAAGAAGGAGAAATAGGAACAGGAAACATGGAAATGGCAGAGGTGCTTAATGACTTGTTTGTTTTAGTTTTCACCCAGAAGATTGATGGTGACCGGATGCCTAACATAGTGAATGCTAGTGACAATAGGGTAGGTTGAGAAGTTAAAATAAAAAAAGAACAAGTTAAAAATTACTTAGAAAAGTTAGATGTCTTCAAGTTGCCAGGGCCTGATGAAATGCAGCCGAGAATACTCAAGAAGCTGTTAGAGGAGGTATTGTCTTGGAAAAGTGATGGAAGGCGGAAGAGATACCACAAGACTGGAAAAGGGCAAATATAGTGCCCATCTATAAATAGGGAAATAAGAACAACCCAGGAAACTACAGTCCCTGGCTATTCCTACCCTCCCCACAGAAAAAGCCAGAGTGGAGTTCAGGGCAGAACACCAAGCAGGGAGTGTGGTGGACAGAGCCCTTTCCCACTCCCCAGAGAGCGGCATGGCCCAGGGCATATAAGTTAAATCTTGGCATGTCACTTCGGAAATTTTGCCTACCTCTGATCTAGACCGTGCTTGGTCCTGTCATGAGGACAGAGGACTGGATTTGATCTCTTGAGGTCCCTTCCAGTTCTTGTATTCTACGATTCTATGAGCATGTTTAGATGGTTTATTTTTCAAACACAAAACAACATGAAAACCTTCATACTTTCCATGAATGAAAAGCCACAAACTATTAATATACCTGCTTAAGAGCTCTGGCTTTTTTTAACTCTTTATCTGATTTGTCACTGAAAAGGTTTAGTTCATCTATTCTGATCATCAGGCCAGTCATTTCTTCTCCTGTTTTATCCATCTCTCTCTTGAGAAAATAGACATCGCTCTGTTAAAAAATAAATAGCTTTTAGTTCATTATACTAGAAAGAGATGACACCAAATACTAGCAATTAATTAAAAAATACAGATTATAAACTCTTTGGAACAGGAATGCTGTTACAATTTTTATACTGTCTGTGCTACTGAAATATTTGAATTGGGGTTTAAGGCACCCTTTTATGACACCACTGCACAACCTTTATATTCATGCAGTTATAGATTTCAAGGGCAGGAGAGACAAATATGATCTAGTCTTTCCTTCTCCAAAACACAGGCCATAAAATTTCACCATATCCTAACAATTTAGAGAACTTATTTAAAGAACATATATGAATTTAAAGAACATATATTTTCTAAAAACATCCAATTTTGGATCAGATTCCCAAGTGATGGAGAATTTACCACATCCCTTAGAAAGCTATTTCAATATTTAATTACACTAATACACACTAATTGTTCAAAATGTGCCCTGTATTTCCAGTTTGAATGTTGATGACTTCAGCTTCCAGCCATTAGCTCTTGGTATGCCTCTTTCTAGCAGACAAAAGAGCCCTCAAATATCTTCTCCAAATAAAGGTAACTATAGTTCATGATCAGGTTATTACTTAACCTTCTCATTGACAAACTACTCATGATAAGCTCCAATGCTTCATTTAAAATTAGGCTTTTCTTGCTTAAAGGAGCAAGTCTCCAAAGTTTGAAAATTGTTTAAAAAGAAACAAAACAGTCAAAATTTGGGGGACAATCTGGTAATGAAAAGAGGTCATAGGTACATACACATAAAACACAAGTATAGGTGTGTCAAATTCACGTAGAAACAAATTAGGTGCATTTATACATTTCACTGTAACTATGCTTGCAAGTAAAGTAATTTGCATATACATATTGGGTGACTTGTGATATACAAGATCTCCTAAAAGAACATTTTTAAAAACAGAAAAAAAAGTTGCTTGTATAAGTACTGTGTCAATGTTATGGCCTGTGAACTTGAACATTTTCCCCTTGAAATAATTAAAAATTTAATTCTAACTGCATAAAAATAAATATAATGCAATTATAGTATAATATATAAAAACTAGTGTCAATATTATCACAGACTAATGGTCTCTTACTGATGCCCTATTGTGAAGACACATTTGAAAAGTTTCATTTTTAGCTCTTATTGGCTGAAAATAAAGTAATAAAGCAAATTAAGTTTGTGCTCAAACAACCCAAAATCCTCCTTCATGCCATAAGAGCAGCCATACCGGGTCAAGCCAAAGGTCAATCTACCTCTCCAGATTCCAAGAAACTTCAGTCTTCCAGTAGCTATGCATTTCCCACAAGGTACATAGAGGAGTGTGGTGTGAACATAAGAACGACCATTCTGGGTCAGACCAAGGATCCATCTAAAGTCCAGTATCCTGTCTGCCAACAGTGGCCAATGCCATATGCCCCAGAGGGAGAGAACATAATAAGTAATCATCACGTCTTTTGCCTGTCATGCATTCCCAGCTTCTGACAAACAGAGGCTAGGGACAGCAATTCCTGCCCAATCAGATGCTTGTAACTGTTTCATAAGTTGATCATTTTCTTTTCACTGTCTTTCTTCTACTCATTCAAAGAGTTCCACAGGTTGACTGTGTACTGAGTGAAGAAAAACGTCCTTGTTTGTTTTAAACCTGCTACATATTAATTTTATTTGGTGACCCCTAGTTCTTAAATTATGGGAACAAGTAAATAGCTTTTCCTTATTCACTTTTTTCATACTAGTCATGATTTTATAGACCTCTATTATATCCCCCCTTAGTATCCTCTTTTCTAAGCTGAAAAGTCGAAGTCTTTTTAATCTCTCTTCATATGGGACCTGTTCTGAACCTTTTCCAATGCCAATATATCTTTTTTGAGATGAGTTGACCACAAGTATATGCAGTATTCAAGATGTGGGCGTACCATGGTTTTATAAAGCGGCAATAAGATATTCTCAGTCTTATTCGCTACCCCTTTTTTAACGATGCCTAACATTGTGTTTGCTTTTTTGACTGCCACTGAATGGATGTTATCAAAGAACTATCCACAAGGACTCCAAGATCTCTCTGTTGAGTAGTTGTAGCTAAATTAGTCCCCACCATATGTACAGTTGGGATTTTTTTCCCCAATGTGCATTATTTTACATTTATCAACATTAAACTTCATTTGCCATTTTGTTGCCCAATCACTTGTGAGGTTATCTATGTAACTTACATGAAGTTCATACATCCTAATACAGTACCAGGTAACTCAAAGAAGAAACCTCCCTCAACTTACTTGTTGAATTTCCAGAATTTATGTCAGCAAAGATGATATTGTAAGCAAGTTACCTGAAGTTTCTTGTGCTGGGCATGTAAAAGATTATATGCATCTTTCTTTTCTTCCAAGGTCTTTTTAAGTTCAGCAACTTTTGCTTCCAGAACTTGCCTTTCGTCTGTATTTACTTCCCCTTTTAACCGTGACAGTCGTCGTTCCACTTGCTGAATATAAAAATCCTGTTAAAATTATTTTTAAAAATAAATTGAGAGTTTGAAGTAAATAATTATAGCTCTTTCTATAATGCTAAATCACTGCATATAAACATTGGAACTAAATTTTGGCTTTAGGACAGTTGCCTAATTAAGCTATTATTATTTTACAATAATTTATGGCCTATTGCCTTCTCATTTTAATGTGAGACATTAACAAAATGCTCTCAAATGACTTGTGTGTGATGGTGGATCATAAGTAATCTTTTAAAAGTGTAACAAAGCACTCAGTGCACAATGTTGCAATCTTGCCTTACCAGTAGAAATGTATATAAAGAGACAAATTTTCAAAGTAGTGCACAGGAGATATGCACATAAATCCTATTAGCAAATAACAGGATTTGGGCATGTACCTCTCTTGTATTGCTTCGAAAATTTACCCTGAAGGATCAGTAGTTCTGAGAACTCAAAGTGAAGAATTGATTTGGGAAATTAAAGTGGGGAACAGAAGATACAAAAAAATAATTCACACATACTCATTCAATTTCATTCATGTACTTGGGAAGATGGAACTACAGAACTCATCACAAGCACTGATCATTTCAGAAATTGTATTTTCTAAGCAGTTATAGACAGAAAATAGGCAAAACACGCTGTTCATATATGAGCCCCAAAGAATGTTCACAAATGAAATTGAGGACTTGTTAACATTTTTACCTGATTATACATGATTTCCTGTTGCTTTAAGGTGTCTGCATCAAGTCTGCATAACCGACTGTTAAGGTTTTTAAGTGATGCTCGTGTTCCCTCGATTTCTGCAATAATACATTTCTCCTTTTCTCTCTGTACCTGTAACTCCTGAGTCTTTTTGAAATGGAGCTCTTTCAACTGGTTCATTTGTGTTTCTTTTTCCTGATGACAAGTTACTCATTAAACACACAGTGTCAATTTTGAATAATGTTTGGCACATTAGTCTTCATCATTCATAGAAAAAATGACATGCATAAAATATTCTACATATGAAGTACTGGAAACATGAGATTTTAGTTTCAGAAGCTTCAGAAACTGTTTGCTAGCTTAAAAATCTTTTGACTTTGGAGAATAATAAAGTGTCCCTAAAGCTTTGTCCTTGCAAAAGTATTAGTGTGAACTTTTGAGCAATTGACTACAGGCTCTTCTCCATTTAAGCAAACTATAAACTCTTGCCTCTTTCAAGTTTTACCCCCATTGCCTTCCAGTACCCACCTACAAAAGAGGGTTGCTTTTTTTATTGGATTTCTTACAAATGACTTACAATGTGATTTTTCAAGATTATTTAACAATCAAAATGTATAGTAGAATGTGTGTATAATATAGTTTTGTTTTTTAAATATATTAATACATTTTAAAATCACTTCTTTTCATACCTTCCATGACCTAAGATGAGGTCTTTGTACTACAGTTGATACCATTAACACCTGAAGCAATTATACGAAATTCAGCTCTTTGCTCTGATTTAGGTATTAAGAGATGTCATCAACTGTAGTGAGACAATCTTGAATTCTAAATTGTAACAGGAAAAAAACATGAATATGGCCTGATTTTTTTATTTTTATTTATAAATACACACACACCCAGAGCTTTTTAAGATTTTCAATCACTAATAAAATGTTTAACTGTTTAAAAAAGAAACAAAGGATTTCTATTTGCCAAGGTCTGAATTCAGTTTTATATTTTTCCACCATTGTTGGGGTTGGGAACCTTTTTTCGGTTGAGGGTCACTGGCCCTCATAAAAGTGAGTTGGGGGCTGCACACAAGTGAGAAGCAAAATGAAAACCTCTCACTGTGGTCCCCAACTGAGAAAGACACTCCCCACATTCCCCTCACACACCAGATTCTGGGGGCGGGGGGCCAGCCTACTAGATTTGGTGTGAGCCAGCCCCTTGGTGGGGCAGGGAACCTTTTTTCGGTTGAGGGTCACTGGCCCTCATAAAAGTGAGTTGGGGGCTGCACACAAGTGAGAAGCAAAATGAAAACCTCTCACTGTGGTCCCCAACTGAGAAAGACACTCCCCACATTCCCCTCACACACCAGATTCTGGGGGCGGGGGGCCAGCCTACTAGATTTGGTGTGAGCCAGCCCCTTGGTGGGGCAGTGGGGGAGGGGCTAAGTCTCAGGCTGGGTCCAGGTAAGGCGGGGGCTGCATCTGGCCCCCAAGCCTGAGTTTCCCCATCCATAGTTAATAACATTGAGATATTACTTGAAGGCAGGTGGGTTGAAAGGGAAAGTTTTATTTTTGGAATAAGTGTTAAAGGTGAACTATTAAATCCAGAACATGGGGGTGCAAGTATAGAATTGAAACAAAACCTACTGAAGTTAATGGGAAATGACTTTTGGATTAGGCCCTAAGAGAGAAAATGATTTTTTTAAATTTATTTTTAATACATATTTATTTTTAATTTCTATGACCACCTATGTGTCCAATTAGGACCAATTTTTAAACAAATGAAAACAACGGCAAAACTGTCAACTCAAATGCAATCAGAATTTGGCCCTTATATCATTAAAGTTTTAAGTAGTTTTTGTATTTTTAAAATGTATATATTTAAAAAAATAACATTTTCTTCCTTTTAAAAAGAGGTTCCCCAAAACAGATATGGGAATTAGATAAGAATCAGTCCCCACAACACTGCTTTGCTACAGAGTCCAGGATAGATGAGGAAACTGAAGCACAAGTGATGAATGGGATTTTGTCTTTATTGTTCTCAGTAAATATCTTTTCACAGTAAATTTATAGATGCAGCGAATAGACATGCATGCCTAATGTTGATGGGAAATATGCTTCTGACTAATGCATTACAGACATTGTTCAAGAACAGTTCATCTTATTTAAAATATTACCCCAAGGCTGAAAAGCTGCTAAGCTCAGTGTCAACTTAGGTTATCTGCCACATATGTAAGTAAAAAACAACAACATGCTAATGGCTTAGCCACCCTAGTAACAGATTAATGGGGGAGCAAATGAAGTTTCCAATTTAAAGAAATGTTATATAATTCCAGGTAGTTTTCAGATTTTCTGCAACATTTAATTTTTAATAACAAACCCTATTTTAAAATCTACATATCTAATGCTCATTGCCTCTAAATCATTTATTAATATTCAAAGTACTATTTAATGTACATAGTAACTAACAACTAAATTTATGAAGCAAGTCTCAAGAGCCTATCATGAAGGCAGTATTTCACACAGCTATTGCTTAAAAAACAAGACAGGGTTTGGGAAAAATAAGTGGCAGCAATAAAATACGTAATGGTGTACATGGCTGTAGATTTTATTGTCACTTGTTTGAGAACATCTGCTATGCCACTTATGGTTCATATCAGATCTGTCAGCGGCTAAACGTATTTATAAAGAATTATGAACAAATTGGGAAACAGAGTTGGATGTTTTATTTATTTATTTATTTATTTAAAAATTAAGTATAGGAAAGCTCATCTGGCAGGCTAAAGGGGAACCAAGGACCTATAATCCCAGACTCCAGAGCATCTAGGATCATGGCTCCTGAGCAGCCCAAGCTCCCAGAGTTTTCAGAGGTGGGATGGAGAATAGTCATTCCATTTTGTGTACAAATGTGAATATTTTGGTTTTCATTCTGACTTGGAATGAAATCAGATTTCAAAATCTTAAATTCCTCCATGAAATTGAATTAATATTCTCTGCCAATTTCTAATAGCTCTTCAAAATTTAGCCATAAATCTGGGATTAAATTATCTCAAAATTCTACTGTATATTTAATAACTGCAAGTGGTCAAGATCTAGGTTATGTCTGATCTAAATGATGACAGTTCCACTGCACAGTGCCCCCTCAGTGCCATGCCTGAATACTGATTCTGTACCAATTCAGAGGGAAGAATGCGACCTAGGAAACCCACATATCACTTCACATAACACCAACTTTTCCCCTAAGGATCTCCTATGCAAGATCCAACTGAATCCTGCTTACTTTAATGTTTCAGGGGGAATGGCTGCAGCCCATATTAATAAGTAAATTCCATTTTAATCCATATCTAAATATTTGTCCCAAATACAACCTGTGAGTTCTATATTCATCATCAGTGGCAGAAACTGTCAAAAAGCTTTTACCTTAACAATTTTCTCCTCTTCTTTTAGTATTTCTTCCATCCTGGAAGCTTTTTCTTCTAAACTCAATGTCTTCTCTGTCACAAACTTCAGTTTATTTGAAAGATTCACGTTCTGGTCTTTAATGTAAGTTAGCCTGAACAAAGTTACAAGGCACAATGAGTTAGGTTGAAGGGTACACATAAGACACAGGTAAAAATGTTCAGAGCAGTTGACTGAGAAATAAATTTAATAAAGCAATCATATTCATCTAAAGGCATGGAACTGTGCAGGGTACTTAGTCTGTTTCAGAAAGCTATTACAGGCCAGATTATGTCCCTTCCACTAAGATGAGACTCACAAGAAGTATTTCAAGGCTATGTAGTTCAAAGAATAACTAAGATAGTCTAGCTGTGTGACAAAGTATCCTGCTAGTTGACTATTTAAGTGTCCAACATTATTTAAGGTTCCTTGATATGAGTAACTTGATCAAAGATCTGATTGTTACAGAATGTTATACACTTTTTCTAAGAGTTTATCATTCTTACCTGGTGTGTTTTTCCTGGATTTGTTTCTTCAGATTTGCCATTTCTGTTCTCAGAGATTCTAAATCAGAAGCAGTTCTGTCCACAGTGCCTTTTAAAGTATCCAGCTAATAAATACACAAATAAATAAATTAATTAAAAGCGATCAATTACTCTATTTTGTATGTGGAACATTTTAGTACATTTGCAAACAGTTTTCAGAAAGCTCATAAAAACCAGAAACTTTATAGAAATATACCTATTAACAATCTGACATCAAAAGATTTGCTAGTGCTGCTAACAAATCTGTATGTCTACAATGCAAAGATTATTCTAGATATATTTAAGTGTTTTCTCTAAATGAGAGGGGAAAATTGATTCTCAATTTGTGTAAATCAGCAGAGCCCATGAAATCAGACTGATTTACAGCGGTAAAAATCTTGACCCAATATATTTGTAATTAATTATTAAGAATAAAAATGGGACCATAGCCAGCAACTGCATCTGTGTGTGTAAATCCTTGTACTTACGTGTAAACCCACTGACTTCGGTGAGGCTCCATGTGGACACTGGCGATAGTATGAATCCAACAACTAGTGCTGGCCCAAGCTTTGCTGATTGCACAACATTATTTTGATTAAAGTAGGGAGGATTGTAAGGTATGAGGACTCAGAGAAACTTCATACAAATTACCTAATAAGTTGTAAGATTCATAAAGGGAAATATTTTTATGCCGCACATCATTAGCCTATGAAACTTTTTCCAGCAAGATATAATTGAAGTAAATAGTTCAGCTAGAGAGTAATAGTTAGCATTTTATGCATTCCAATGTCTTTACAAACATTAGCTGATTAATCAAATATATCTTTCAAGTAGGGATGCAGATATTGTTCTCATTTTTACAGATGTACCATCCAATCCACTATCACCTGTTGCCTCTTTATTTGGTAGCTTCTATAGTTATTTTATTTATGACAAAATTACAAGGCTATCAGCCCTTGTTCTTCAGAACATAAGATGATGATCATCTGGAGAAGTGAAGAAATTATTTTTTCTTCATGTTACAATACTACAAAACTAAATGCATTATATGTATTGTAAAGAGGAAGCATTATACTTTCCTCTGAAGCATCTAGTAGTCACTGCAGTCACAGGCTGGATACTGTTTATGGAAAACAGTTCAGTCAGCCATAGGAGGCAACACAGTAATACAAGGCACTCCCTTTCTCAATGACTACGTGCTTCCTCCTCTGCAGCAGCACCAGCCAAAGACAAACCTCAGGCTTCAATCTCCAGTACCTAGCATTGCATTGGCAAGTGCATGGGTTATACCAGAAAATTAAAGAGAGTTTACCATATACTTCTGCATTGTTGTTGTCCTATTTGTTTCATTAATTAAAAGTTAGGTGTCTTTTTAATTTTTTGCTTTTGCCTGAAGCATTTTGTCACTATTACCTCATCCTGGAGTTGAACTCTATAAGCATCTTGGGTTTGGTAATCTAATCTGAGTTTGGCAGCTTGACGGTCAGCAACAGAAATTTTCTTTTCATACTCCACATTGTTCCCAGTCTCGTTTGCCAAAAAGCAAATCTTCTCTTTAATCACATCTTCTTTCTTTCGGATCTCCTGTCTTACCTTGGCAAATAACTAGAAGAATTAAAAACATATGAAGTGTTTAAATATTGAAACAAGCATTGTTGTAGGCTTGTTACTCTTTGTTTTTGGCTATTGCTTTACCTTAAAATTGATTACTAGTAAAAAGAAACAAATCAAACTATACTTTAATGCCATAATGTGGCAGCCTAGATATTGCACTACCAAGAAGTTACCTTTGATATGTGACTAATTTCACTCATATATAGCAACGTAAAATACTGAAAATATTTTGGATAGACAACTTCTATTCTCAATATTAAAAATCACCATTATGATGCTATAAATGTACATAGAACAGTGACATGCTCAGAGTGACAGGAAAGGGCAATGCCATAGGCATAAACAGCATTTGGATAGCCCAGAACCAGGGCAAGGCAAACAGAAGGGCTACGTCTACACTGGCCCCTTTTCCGGAAGGGGCATGTAAATTTCACTAGTCGTCGTAGGGAAATCGGCGGGGGATTTAAATATCCCCCGCGGCATTTAAATAAAAATGTCCGCCGCTTTTTTCCGGCTTTTAAAAAAGCCGGAAAAGAGCGTCTAGATTGGCCCCGATCCTCCGGAAAAAGTGCCCTTTTCCGGAGGCTCTTATTCTTACTTTGAAGTAAGAATAAAAGGGCGCTTTTTCCGGAGGATCGGGGCCAGTGTAGACGCTCTTTTCCGGCTTTTTTAAAAGCCGGAAAAAAGCGGCGGACATTTTTATTTAAATGCCGCGGGGGATATTTAAATCCCCCGCGGATTTCCCTACGACGACTAGTGAAATTTACATGCCCCTTCCGGAAAAGGGGCCAGTGTAGACGTAGCCAAGGTGACAATAATATTTATAATTAATAGTCATGTTAAGTGATGACCAATGTGTGCATGAGGGTTTTAGCACTACAGATTTTAGGAAATGGTGGATTTTCTAATTGTTAAAGAATAAGTAAAAAGGATTAGAAAGAACGTACTTATCATGAAACAACAGTGTACAGAAATTACTTTCCTATTCTTTGAAAAGTGACTACTTATAAATGGCACCATCTCGTTTAGCTGATCTGGTCCCTATATTAACTTCTTATTTTAATCACAAACATAAATCAACAGAACTAATTTGAAGAGTATTCAATAAAGGGTAGCAAAATACAGCTACTAGCAAATATATGGCCTACAGTACTAAAGAGCTCAAGTTATTACAGCTAAGTTTCTACATTAACTCCCATTCTAAATGATTTCTCCTGAGATCTTCCTCTATTATTAGACAGTTTATTACTGTTGTATAATAATAATAGTTCAAATACCTTTTTCCCCACAGAGCTCTCTAACCCAAATGTGAACATGCAAATTCTACCCCCCTTTGCAGCCCACTATTCTTCTCTAAGAGACTTGTGTAGAAGTCTAGCTGCTGTTAGTGCTGTTAAGATAAGACAGAGGGAACATTATCAGAAGTTGCAAGGCATTCCAGCTCTTGATGGAACAGGGTATGTGAGACTGGAACTGAAAATTAAATATGAGACTTTTGGATAGTATTGCAGAAGAATATCATTTAAGTTGAGAGAGACAGACTGTACTTAAGAGACTCCCCTTTAAAACTAAAAATATTCATCAAACAATGCAATCTAATGCAACTGCATCTTCTGTAATATACCTTAAGTTCAAAACAGCTGAGTGAAATGTAAAGAGGAGCAATGCACAAAGGAACAGGATAAGGCCCATTATTTTTACAGTGTTCTTCTATTTGAGACAATAGCACAGTTTTCATTAGTGGTGCAAGGTTAGGTCCACTATTTATATAAAGCAAACTCTGAATATATATTTTACCAAAGCACAATGATCTATTTCTTGATCTCTTTTCTGCATCTGCTCTATTGTACTTTCCCACTGTCTGATGAGCTCTTGTCTTTCATGGTGAACCCTGCGAAAATCTTCAGCTGCTTTATCCAGCTCTATCTGTAAGGAAGTGGAGCCCAATTAGCAATGGTTTCTAATTTTAAGAAGTACTTCAAATATGGAAAATAATCTTTATTTGCTTTATACACAAACCTGAGCACTTATGGTTTCTGTAAGCTCATTGTCAAGAATTTTGCGTTTCTGATTAGCTTCCATAGTCATCGTTTCTACCTGGTGAGTCAGCACCTGAAATGAAATTATTCAAGGACTAAAATAGTTAATTAATTATAAATGAATACAAAGCTTTGCTACAGTTAAGTTGGGAGTTTGAAATACATAAAAAGCTAAGAATCCAATCTTATAAACCTTTGGTCATACAAGGAGCCCTTATTCATAGAAGTAGTTCCTTTAATATCAATGGGACTTTTTGGGTAACCAATGGTATTTGAATTGCCTGTTCATTCAATGCAGATGGTAGTAAAATTAGCTTTAATTTGAAAATTATGCAAAGAATACTTAAATGTATCAACAAAAATACTTTTTTCCTAAGTGACAAGCTATGTGAGAATAATCTTTATACATTTTGAAACAATTGCTTGATGAGTCTACTATACATTTAATACCTGTCTTTCATTGCTCTAGTCAGTTTTATTCTAGTAGCCTTATTTTATTCTCAGTGATATTAAACAATGCATTTCTGGTGTAAACAGGAACATCTAAACTACTTGCACTTATTTTTCTAGAAGGTCATATGTCGTAGATTTCTAGGACGAACCCTCTATTGAATTCAGTATGAAGTTCTGTTTAAAAACTGACTGCAAAGTTTTACCTACAGTGACTACTGGCCATAATTAAATATTATATGTATTTTCAGGCTAAATTTTAGCCTTCTCTAGCTGAACAAACAAACCCTTAAAAGTATTAAATTGTGCATTATGGCCCTTTATAAAAACAGTCACATCCTAACATTTAAATGAAATTGGTATGCTAGATGAAAAACCATCACAGATTAGAAGTGCTGTTGAACATGATGTCTTGCCTTTCTCTATGTCTCAGTCTCTGACTTGATGCATGATAAAATTCTTAGATGCTAAAAATGGCCTTATTTTCCTGTTGAAAATATACATACTGAAATTACATTTTTTTAAAAAATGGTATATAATCATACTTTAAATTTCCCATCATCCTGTTGAGCATACTTCTGGATTATGACTGCATCATTGTCTTTATGAGCTGATTCCTCTAACCACGCCTCCAGAGCTTGCTGATCCCAGTTCATCTGGCATCTTAAGGCTTCCAGCTTTTGAGTGGCTTTGAATATATTATTCTAGAAAAGTTTGAGAGAAATTAAATTTTAAAAATTATGAATTATCTATCTAAGCACAAAATCAAAACAGACAGTGCAAGTGGATATGGGCATTTATCCTCGTCTTAGGAATTTAGTGGTTTCTGATGATCATTCTGTTGAGTCTTTTTCTATGGCAAATATCTTCAATTTGAATAATGCCAGTACCTGGTCCTGGCATTAAAAAGAATCAAGACAATTAAGTTTCCACAAACCTAAAAAAGCAAAACTGTCTTAAAGTGAAGTGAGTGACTATTTGGCATAAGATGCCTATTCAATCTGGCGTTAATACATGCTTGGTGAGAAACTCATACAACTCTCTTCCCCTTTCCCCGAACCTAAAAGACAAATTCTGATACTCTTACCCCACGTCTACGTCTACACTGTAGCCTTCTTCTGGAAAAGCTTGTGCAGATGAAGTGCGGAGTGGAATATCGCTGCACTTCATTTGCATAATTAATGAGCAGCCGCTTTTGTGCAAGAGGCTTTTGTGCAAAAAGGAGCCATCTACACAGCTCTGAAGTGCAGCGATATTCCACGCCGCGATATTCCACTTATCCATTTGCATAAGCTTTTCCGGAAGAAAGCTACAGTGTAGCTTGCGAGTGGTCCCAATTGACTTCCCAATGTAAGAGGGACTGGCAGAATCTAGCCTTAGGAGTACAGCAAGGAGGAGGATCTGGCTATTTGGAGCACCAAAGAGAGTCAACAATAAGGAAAAAAGCCAACCAAATATTAATTAGCCTAATGACTTGAAAAAAAAGATATAACACATTTGCTATTTCTTTCATGGGTAATTTTCTACTCAAATGTTGTTATAAATGTATTTATTTACAGAAAATATATAAAAGATTTGCACTTGAAATCTTCCCATCCGATCCTTTTTAGGCTCAAGGGAGCAGAAGTATTCTAGCAACTTTTTTTTTTTTTTTTAAGTACAAGGAAAATATCCAAAGAGAAAGTAACAAGGTAGGGTGTGTGAACACATCATTACATGAATCTACCTCGTTGCAACCCCTTTCCATCTCTCTTACTTTGGGTCTGATTCTGAGGGTCTCACCATTGCCACTGACTTTTTGACAGTGCTGTGGATCTTGTGGGGATGAGTCTTTTGTTGTCATTCTTGGCTGTGTTTTGTCCCATTGATGATTAAGAATAAATATTCCTAAGTTTTGCTAAGGAAAACTTTACCTCATCAGCTAATCCTGTTGCAATCAAAACCCTGAGACACTTGGAATTCCAAAATGAATGAAAAAAATTACTATGTCATGTCTGAAACTTTAAACAAAATAAGCAATTGGTCCTCCATTTCTTAATAACACAAAACTCTTAACATGTTCCTGAAAAGGGGCCGAAGGACTGGGTGATAAGTATTTAGGGGATGTCACAGGCTTCATCAAAAAGTACTATTGTACAAATTGTTGTCTTATTATCTTATTTGTTTAAAAAAAACCTACTCGTTGCAAGAAAAATAGTGATAAACAGAATAGGTTACTTATTACAATATTCTTGAATCTTACTTCTTGACTATTTTTCTTTTCTCTTAAGGAAACCATCTCATTTTTCAGCCGTTGAATCTCTTTTTTGAGACGTCCAAGCTCTCTCTCAGCAACGGCTTTAAAGTGCTCTTCAGTTTTAATTTCATTCTCTCTGGCTCTGTAAAGAGACTACAGAATAATATAGTTCATTATTTTGCACGGAATTGTTAACAGGAATTTAGCACCCCATATAAATTTTATTATTTCACCAAAATCAGAACTCTAAATAAAAGATAACACTGATATAAAACTATGAACTTTACATGTAGGCATTTTACAGAACTAAAATAATAATGCTTATGGATGCTTTTGAAATTCAGGATCTGATCTGCACTGGTGTTAATCCAGAGCAACTTCATTTACTGGTGTTTGGACTTTTAGATATAGAATTAATATAAAAATAAATTACCCATATCAAATGTTCACAGATTAGCTTTCCCTATCTAGCTAAGTGATTCAAAAATACTTCATGGAAAATTCAGAATTCATTATTTCGCTCTTCTGTAGTTCAGAGACAAACAACAGTACTAACAATCATATTCAAACTAGTCTCTCCATCATCATGTAGCATTCTGTCTGATTCAGGAGGCAAAGCAGCAAAGAGTATTCTATTGTTTTGAGCCGAGATGGATTAGTTGACATAGATATTGCCACATGCCAGCTGGGTGCCTCTTTTTGTCTGGCAAATTGCTTTAATATATTTTCCCCTATACAATACCCAATCTTTTACCTACTGGAAGTCCTTCTCTTAAAGAAGAAGGAGCACATAGTGTTCTTCATCTCGATTGCTAATTAAAACTTGCATCTAGCACATTAAAACTAAGAGGCTGTTCAGCTGCAGGGAGGCCATCTATCCACCTCTCAGTGCTCTTTCGCATGGGTTGTATCAATAGATTCATTATCTGAGTTTCTTCCCAGACATGTATATGAAATCATAGCTGTGATTTAATGTTTTTAGCAGTCCAGCCCAAAACCTTAGAGGGTTCATTTTTCAGAAAGTTCTGAGCACCCACCTGTGAAAATTGGGTCCCTTTAAAGTGTGTGAAGTTGGGTATCCAAAAACAGAGGCATCCTTATCCACTGATCATTTAAAAATTTGAACCTGAGTCATAAAGTTTAAGTCGGGGCGGGCAAAATATGGCCTGTGGGCTGGATCTTCAGGCAGGCTCCCTGCCTACCCCCACATGCTGCTCAAAGCAACAGACTATGGTGGCTATGTGCCGCTCTGAGGGTCGCCAAAAGCCAGAGTGGGGAGAGAAGAAGCTTCACATGCTGTCCCATGCCAAGCACAATCTCACAGCTCCTATTGGCCAGGAACCAGCCAATGGGAGCTGCCTGTTTGCAGAGCAGGCAGTGTGAAAAGTACTACCTGTGGGACTTGTGGCACTCAGCGCAGCACATATCCCCAACAGCCGGCCATTTTGAGCAGCGTGCAGGAGCGTGTACACGTCCCCTCCCTACCAGCTGGGAGAAACTCACTGCTTTGTCCTCAGCAGGGAACTGCTGCTGTCATTGAGGGAGAAGTGTCCCTCTCACAGCCAGGCAGCTCCATGAACAAGTCCTGAGCCCCTGGCTGAAAGGGGCTCATTAAGCAACTGTAGGTCTGTGCTACTGCACAACTTACAGAGAACACTACCCTGGCCTGCACCCCAATCTCCTGTCCCAGATCACTCCCCCTTCTGCCCTAGGGCACAACCAAACCTCTGTACCCACTCCTCTGCTTCTGCCCCAGGTCACAACCCCCTTCCAGATCTTGCACCCCCTCCTACACCTTTCCTCCATATCCAAATCCTCTCCTGCACTCATACCCATCCTCCCTCCCAGACTCTGCACTCTAAACCCCTACCCCAGATCACAACTCCCTCCTTCATACTAATATCCTCACAGACCCCCACATCCGTTTCTGCATTCCAATCCCAAGTTCCCTTCTGCACCCAATCTCCATATCAGACCCTGCACCTCCTCCATTAGTATCATGGAAGAGTGCAGCCCTTGACCACTTACCAAATTCTTGGTGTGCCCCACACCTTCCCCCCATCAAAAATTATTGCCCATCCCTAGTTTAAGACCTGAAAGGATAACCAGATCATCTTGTCTAATAAATCACAGGCCACCAATACCACCTCTGACCTGCACACTAACCCCAACAAATTAGGCTCTCCAAGAGTATGTCTAGACTGCACGCCTTTTTCGACAGAAGCTTTTTTGAAAGTATCTTTTCGGAAAAAGAGCATCTAGATTGCATTATGCAGATTGAAAAATTGATCTGCTTTTTCAAAAACAAAAAAAAAGGTAAAAAAAGGAAGGAAAAAAGGGTACCCGGAAGTGCTTCTGGCAGGGCACAGGAACAGCCTTTATTTCCAGATGCTGCTGCATTCTCTTTGCAGAGACGCGTGCTTAAAGGGAGTCCCCTGGACAGCCATTGCTCTGCTCCTGTTTGTGGCTTGCCTATCTCCTGGAGGGAAAGCAAAGCTGCTGCAGTGCTTGTTCTGGTTGCCCTGCTTCGTCGGACACCACAGCAGTTTATTTTCAGGGTTTTTTTCTGCTTTTCACTGTGTTTTTGGCCATGGAGCCTGAGCTGCCCCTGGGCAGGCGATGGGCCCACACTGTGATGCTGGAAGTTCTGCTGCATCTTCATGAGACCATCATGATGTTTGTGGCAGAGCTGGATTCAAAGCCCAGCTTTGAGCCCCTCACTTGGGCTGCAGCCCCACTGCCCTTGCCACCGAACTTATTCCTGCAGAGGCGAGTTTGGAGGCTGGACACCAGTTCAGACTGGTGGGACTGGCTTGTTATGGAGCAGTGGGACGATGAGGCTTGGCTCCGAAACTTCCGTATGTGGAAGTCCACCTTCCAGGAGCTGTGTGCCTGACTCGCCCCTGCCCTACAATGCCAGGACACCCACTTGCAGCCCGTCATCCCCTCTGGAGAAGCGGGTCGCTATTGCCCTCCGGAAGCTGGCCACCCCCAACAGCTACCACTCCATGGGACACCAGTTTGGTGTGGGGAGGTCTTGATGGAGGTAAGCTACTCTACAACACCAGGACGCTCATTTGCGGCCCGCCATCCCCCTGGAGAAGCAGGTCGCTATTGCTCTCTGGAAGCTAGCCACCCTCGACAGTTACCGCTCAGTGGGACACCAGTTCGGCGTGGGGAGATCCACCATTGGGGCCATCTTGATGGAGGTAAGGCACTCTTGGGGGACAGTCCCTGTGGGGGGGGAGGAGATAGAAAAAGGGGATCACCAGAAAAGGGCAGGAGGAGTGCGAGGTGGAGTGGTAGGGGGGTCCTGGCTTCATCCAGCCCTGCTGCTAGGAGGGCAGCCTGAGGCCGGTGGCTCCTGTGGTCTTTGGGGGGGGGGTGAGGGTGGGGGGGGTTTTCCC